GATGCAGTCATTGGTGTAGAGTGAAAACAGCAGAGGGGAGAGCACACATCCCTGGGGGGCGCCTGTGCTTATTGTCCGGTTGCTGGATGTGGTTTTCCCCAGCCTCACTTGCTGCTTCCTGTCTGTCAAAAATCTAGTGATCCACTGACAGGTGGGGGCAGGCACAGTCAGCTGGGTCAGTTTGGAGTGGAGGATGTCCGGGATGATGGTGTTGAATGCTGAGCTGAAGTCCACAAAAAAGGGCCGTGCATAGGTGCCGGGGGGGTCAAGATGCAAGATGTAATGCAGTGCCATGTTCACTGCATTGTCCGGCAACCTGTTTGCCCGGTAGGCAAACTGCAGGGTGTCCAACAGGGGGTCTACGATGGCCTTCAGGTGGGCCGACACCAGTCTTTCAAAGGTCTTCATAACTACAGATGTCAGGGCGACAGGTCTGTAGTCGTTCAGTCCACTGATGGAGGTTTTGTTGGGGACTGGAATGATGATGGAGCATTTGAAGCTGGAGGGGACTTCACACAGCTCCAGTGACCTGTTGAAGATGAATGTGAAGATGGGGGCCAGCTGATCAGCGCACACTTTCAAGCAGGAGGGGGTCACACCATCTGGGCCTGGTACCTTTCTGAAACCTGAGCTTTCACCTTTTCAGAATAGCTCCTCTTTGCTGCTCTGATCTCCCTTGTCAGTGTGTTCCTTGCCTGGCTGTACAGAGTCCTGTCCCCATTTCATTAAGCCTCCTCTTTGGCACGGCAAAGCTGCTTGAGTCTTGCTGTAAACCAGGGCTTGTTGTTGTATGTGCAAAAGGTCTTTTTGGGCATACACACATCCTCACAGAAACTGATATGAGATGTCAGTGTCAGTGAGTTCATCCAGGTCTGTAGCTGCAGACTCAAATACACTCCAGTCTGTGCAGTCAAAGCACGCCTGTAGCTCTGACTTAGCCTCCTTCGTCCAACTCTTCACTGTTTTGAGCACAGGCTTTGCAGCTTTACGTTTTTGCCTGTAGGTTGGAAAAAGATGGACCATACAGTGATCAGAGAGTCCAAGGGCTGTGCGGGGGACAGAGAGAGACAGGCGTCTTTTATTGTTGTGTAGCAGTGGTCCAGTGTGACTTTGTCCCTGGTGGGACATGTGACGTGCTGTCTGTATTTTGGCAGTTCGTGGGTGAGATTTGCTCTGTTAAATTCCCCTAGAACAATGAGTGGAGAGTCGGGATGTTCTAGCCCCAGGCTAGTTAGCAGTTCTGCCAGGAGCTGTAGTGTGCTAGCGTTAGCCTGCGGTGTTATGTACACTCCCATTAGCATGAAACTGTTGAATTCATGGGGAGAGTAAAAGGGTTTGCAGTTGATAACAAGAGTTTCTAGGTCTGCGGTACATGCCCTATGTAGCACTGTGGCATCTGTGCACCAACCTTCATTTATTTAGAAAGGAAGCACAGTGCATCACAATTTTAAGAGTGTAAGCTATTTCAAGATACTACTGTCAGAGAAAAATTTACTTGCTTTTAATAAGGTTGCATATAGAACAGAACAGTGAAATATTACCTATTCTGTGGTCTGTATTAGGAAACCTTCGCTGTAAGTCCAGTAGCTTTAGCCTGCTATCTCAACATTTAAACTGAAAATTGCTAACATTTTTTTATGCCATACACATTACATGTCAGCCATTGGAGGCTGCTGCTTCTTCTACTGATTGGCCAGTCTGTAAGTGAGTAAGCCTTTCACAATGCAAGAATATGATCCTGTGCTACATTCTAGTATCACAATCACATGCTTTGCTGTGGATGATTGACAGATTTATTTGAAAACAAATTAGTTTTATGGTTAGTCATACAGTGCATCCACAAAGTATTCACAGAACTTAACTTTTTCCACGTTATGTTACAGCCTTATTCCAAAATGGATTAAACTAATTATTGACCTCAAAATTCCACAAACAGTAGCCCATAATGATAATGTGAAAAAAGTTTGTTTGAAGTCTTTGCAAATTTATTAAAAATAAAAAAATGAAAAAATCACATGTACATAAGTATTCACAGCCTTAGCTCAATACTTTGTCGAAGCACCTTTAGCACCAATTACTGCCTCAAGTCTTTTTGAGTATGATGCTACAAGCTTGGCACACCTATTTTTGTGCAGTTTCTCCTATTCTTTTTTGCACTACCTCTCATGCTCTATCAGTTTGGATGGGGGCGTCGGTGCACAGCCGTTTTTCAGATCTCTCCAGAGATGTTCAATCGGGTTCAAGTCTGGGATCTGGCTGTGCCACTCAAGGGCATTCACAGGGTTGTCCCGTAGCCTCTCCTTTGTTATCTTGGCTGTGTGCTTAGAGTCCTTGTCCTGTTGAAAGATGAACTGTCGCCCCAGTCTGAGGTCCAGAGCTCTCTGAAACAGGTTTTCATCAAGCATGTCTCTGTACATTGCTGCAGTCATCTTTCCCTTGATCCTCACTAGTCTCCAAGTTCCTGCTGCTGAAAAACATCCCCACAGCATGATGCTGCCACCACCATCCTTCACTGTAGGGACGGTACTGGCCAGGTGGTGAGCAGTGCCTGGTCTCCTCCAGAAATGAGTTCAATCTTTTGTATCATCAGACCAGAGAGTTTTGTTTCTTGTGGTCTGAGAGTCCTTCAGGTGCCTTTTGACAAACTCCAGGTGGGCTGCCATGTGCCTTTTACTGAGGAGTGATTTCCGTCTGGCCACTCTACCATACAGGCCTGATTGGTGGAGTGCTGCAGAGATGGTTGTTCTTCTGGAAGGTTCTCCTCTCTCCACAGAGAAATGCTGGAGCTCTTTCAGTGACCATTGGGTTCTTGGCCACCTCCCTGACTAAGGCCCTTCTCTCTCAATTGCTCACTTTGGCCGGGCGGCCCGCTCTAGGAAGAGTCCTGGTGGTTCCAAACGTCTTCCATTTATGGATGATGGAGGCCACTGTGCTCATTGGGACCTTCAGTGCTGCAGAAATTTTTCTGTACCCTTCCCCAGATCTGTGCCTTGATAGAGTCCTATCTCGAAGCTCTACAGACAATCCCTTGGACTTCATGGCTTGGTATGTGCTCTGACATGCATTGTTAACTGTGGGACCTTATATAGACAGGTGTATGCCTTTCCAAATCATGTCCAATCAACTTAATTTCCCACAGGTGGACTCCAATCAAGTTCTAGAAACATCTCAAGGATGATCAGTGGAAACAGGATGCACCGGAGCTCAATTTTGAGTGTTATGGCAAAAGCTGTGAATACTCATTATGGAGTATTGTTTGTAGAATTTTGTGGACAATAATGGGGCGGCTGTGGCTCAGGAGGTAGAGCGGGTCATTTCCTAACCAGAGGATTAGCAGTTAGATTCCCGGCTTGTCCAGTCAACATGTCGAAGTGTCCTTGAGCAAGACACTGAACCCCCAGTTGCCCCTGGTG